AGTCTTGGTGGTGCCAATGGATCCAGGCGTGAAGTCAAGGGCAAAGCACTCATTGCCAGTGATGGGCAGTGCATCACCAGGCACCAGTCCGGGATCAGACTCCACACAGGGCCAGAGTGCCTCCGCTATGAGGAACTTGTGGCGGCACAAAAGTTGAGTGTCACAGATCCTTGACGGGAAGGACTTGCAGATATCTCAGTGGGTGACAAGGTGTGTCTCGCCTGGGCAGTAGAGGCAACGTGTGTCCTCATCACTCACGGAGAATGAGTGAGGGCATGAGGCGCAGTTCTTGCACCTCGGAATGCGGGGCAGAATCCCCCAAAGGGGTCGGGAGAGGAAGAGGCTACTATATACACTAACGTATTACAGAAGTACAAATTAAAAAGGAAACAGAACTATCTACCATAGTTCTCGTAGAGTGTACGAGTGTGAAGGGAGGATTCCAACTCCGACCAGGCGGTAAGAAGGAACTGAGGGCACGTTGCCCTGCATGGCCTTTTATAACCTCGCAGGGAGTATATGGCAACATAAGGCAGTCATACAGGTCAATGGACACTGCTGCTGAAAAACTTCCAGCTCCAGTGCATGGTGCACATGCGCACCTACCTTTGGAATTCATATAGGGACCATCACTCGAAGAAAAAACAATGTTTTAGATTCTTGGTTTTGACTCTTGCACCTGTCATGAGCCCTACACTCATTTAAAACTTTGCAGGGTTTTTTTTTTCCTCCCAAATAAACTCTACTTGAACCTTTGGCAGAGCTCCAAATTGAAAGAATTCTAAAGGTTTACCACATGCACATTTTTTCTGGACACTTCAGACTTGTTTTCAGATGCATTGTTCAGGAGCTGAAGACAGGCACACACTGCTTTTGCTGGGCTGGGTTTGAGGCTTTGGGAAAGGAAGGCTATAGTTTGGTGCCTCGCCTTTGGGAGATAAGCCATGGCTATGAGACAAACCGAAAGTCGGATCAGGGCTGCTCACTCAGCTATAACTCAGACAATTTGGGCCCTAAGGCAGCACAAAATTATGCATGTATTTAATTTCAAGCATACAAGTAGTTCAAATGAGTTCAAAGTGACAACTCAAGGGCTTAAAATTTAAGCATGTACATAAACCTTTGCAAGACTGGGGCTCAAATGGGGTGTAATACATAGTTATGCCATATCCTCACTCCTCACTGCAGCTGCTGGTTGCAAAATGGAGTGAAAATGCCTAGAAAAAGTTGGAGCACACGATTGCTTCCTCCCTTCTCCACAATTCCAGCAAATCCATGGTTTTTATTATATTCTTACAAATTAGGTTGGTACAGGAGAACATAGCAGAAAGGAAATTGCACTTCTTCTGGCTCTTCCTATACCAATCCAGACAGCCTATTTACATAAAAGCCCATGTGATTTGTTCTTGATATGATGAGGTTATAGATAGCGAGCATTTTAGCAGTAAATACAGTTTACTATAGATGGTGACAAACGAGTATTTATGCTCCAGCTTTCTAGAGCTTTTCCTCTCTGCTTTCTTTACTGAATGGAGGACAGCCATACCTACGATATGAATCGGTATAGAAAAAACTTGGCAAAGTTGCAATTTATGAGTAAGAAAAATTATTCTTTCTAGAATCATTTCTTCACACTGCCTAATGAATCTACATGCTGTCTATAGTTAACTACTGGGTAATATGTTTAGAAATTGTTTACACTACTTTAAAGAATAAAAAGAATTACTTAGGTATTCATATTCTGCAGTTAGTTTGTAGGTATTATGCTGCTACATATTAAAAGAACGTTGGGCCAGTTTCCATTAACCGCAATAAAGCTACTCTGGTTTTAACACCAGTATAAATGAGATCTGGATCACTCTACCTAGGTTAATATTGTACAAAATTGAACCTGAAAATCTATGCTGGAAATGAACAAAACAGAACCTCATTTTTGTTTTTCTATTTCCTTTTTTCAAAGCCCTTAGTGTACATCGGACTTCCCTTAGGTGTGTTCAAATCCCCTACAACAGAGGTTCTCAAACTGTGGTCCGTGGACCACCAGTGGTCCGCGAGCTCCATTCAGGTGGTCTGCAGATAGTTCCCTCTAAGGTGCGTGCCTGGGTGGTCGCACACAAAAAAATGAAGGGCCACCCACCTAATAGTGGAGCCACGCAGGCATGGCTCCCCAAGGCCACCATCTCACGTTATATGTGCGTCTTCTCCAGGGTCCAGGCACCTAATTAGTTTGGAATTTGGGATGTGCAGGGCTGCAGCAGCCAGAGAAAGAGACGACCTTCCCCAGCTCCAGGGCTGTGGCTGCTGGGGAGAGATGGTCCTCCTTCCCAGCCCTAGGTTGGGGGCTGCCGTGGGAAGGGAGAGATGGTACATCCTTCGCATTAGAAAGGTAAGAATACCGATATTAAATATGAGTTGTGTGCTTTCATTTGTAGAACAAAAAACATTAATTATTATAATTTTTTTTATTTAGCGCTTTTATCCAAAGTGCTTTACAATAGTTAGCTAACAGTATAAACAACATTTGGAAAGATCATTAAGTGGTCTGCCAGACCCTCAGCAATTTTCAAATGGTCTGCGAAAAAGAAAGGTTGAGAACCACTGCCCTAGAAACTATAACAGAATAAGGCCAGACAAGCCCTGCCTTTTTTAGGACTTATTTCATACATGATGAAAAAACAACAAAATGGCATGGGAGAGATGCAGGAGCTCCTTTTGCTGTGACTTTTTTCAACAACAGACAATAACAGCAGAAATGTGGCTAGAAAATTGGTACAAACAATTCTTTGCCAGGTTTGTCTGTGTTGAATAATATTTGCTAATATTATAATATGCATTATCCACACCATATTAGTATACATTAAGCACAAACAGCATTAAGCACAAATATTATAGCAGTTATATTGCCTAAACTGGCCTATGATTTTTTTGAAACCTTGCTCACTTGTAAGTTTTGCGTAACTCAACACATAGTCAACCTGTGGAACTCATTGCCAGGGGATGCTGTGAAGGCCAAAAGTACAGCTGGGTTCAAAAGTGAATTAGGTAAGTTCCTGGGGGATAGGTCGATCAATGGCTATTGGCCAAGATGATCCGGGACGAAACCTCATGCTCTGGGTGTCCCTAAACCTCTGATTGCCAGAAACTGGGAGTGGATAACAGGAGATAGAGCACTTGATAACGGCTCTGTTCTGTTCATTCCCTCTGAAGCATCTGGCATTGACCACTGTTGGAAGACAGGATACTGGGCGAGATAGACCATTGGTCTGACCCAGAATGGCCATTTTTATATTCTTCCCTTGCATTCACTGAAATAAGTTTTGTTTTCAGCAAATAGGTAAGCTGTCAAGAGAAGGACAGATGAGTGCTTTACCATAGTAACAGAAAGGGAGTTATTCTCACAAGCTTGTACAGGAATGTCCCAAAGGAAGAGGACAAGACATCTGATTGTTCTACCCTAGTACAAACCGAGGCGGTGCCTTCATGTCCTTTGGTACCTGAAATACATGTGTTCAGAACAAAGAGATAAGTGGTACACCATGGTACCAGAAAAACAAGATAGAAAGCTTATCGGTTAAATCTAGTTTCATATGATGTACATAGTTCTTTTTACTTGTGAACAGGTAGGGTATAAAAAGATGGCTTTAGGGGTGTAACCTGGGGAGTTCACCTTTTGTGATGTAAATGTAACAATGCAACATGAGAAAGCTTCCCAGAGACTGGCATCACATAGAACCTGTTTCCTGTACTATATTATTATTATTGGCTTATAGCAATAAAGCTGACTGACATGAGTTATTTGGTCTCTTGAGTATATTTCGTAAAGAACCAAAGTGTGGTCAAGGAAATGACTATGCACTATCAAAACCTCTTCTGTAGTCAGTTTGAGGAGAAAGGAGGAGCAACCCATCAGTCCATGGATCAAAGATACAGATTAAGGCCCTTGTTCTGCTATTGGCACTGCACAGAACCTCCTTGACTTCAGTTGGCTGAGGTTCACCTCATGAATCCAGACGCAGAATAAGGGCCCATGTGTTTTCAAATAAACCTAAAGCCTAAACAAAATCTTGTTGCTGTTTTCTTTTTAAGTATAGGAAAATCCCAATGAATTTTTTTTTACATACAGTAGTCACAGAACACCTCCTTGGCAAAGGCACCTGCTTCCATGTTATTCAGATTACAAGCACGCATCAATAATAAAAGGGTGAAAATATTTGTAAAATCACACATCATTGCCAGACTCTGAGAGAAATTATTCTCTTACAAACTTGCACATGTGAGAAATTTCAGACAAATTTAAAATTGGGCTTATTTTAGCTAATCATGACCTTAACGGTGAAGAGAATAGCAGCTCTCCATGATGGACGTGACATAAAATAAATACAGTCTTTAGAGGTGAATTGAAAGGCTTTTTAAATTCCATGACCTAAGGTCATGGTTCTTGTTCAATATTTGATGACACACGTCACTACTGCAAAAAACACACCAGGGAGTTGTGCTCTTTACCATGCTGTTGATGATGTCATCTGTTGTGGCAGGCAAAGTGCAAGAACCTTGAAATCATGTGTCAGAATTCGAGCAGAGGAAGAGCTTATTTTAAATGCTTATGTTGTACAGTACATTTGCCATGAAGCCACATTTTCTAAATATAAAGCTTGCTCCTGGAAACTACTTGTGCATGCGAGTAATCCTTATTTATTTGAGTAGTCCCATTAACTTCAATTGGAGTTGAGAGCACTTGTCATCTCACAGGAGGCACTCAAGCAAGATCAGATGTTCTTATATGTCACTTGCATCTAATTCAGGTTGCCTTTTAAATGAACATTATATCAGCAGCACAGTTTGAGGTACAATGCTGAGAGATGCCCTTCTAAAATAATAGTGGCTATTGCCAATGCATTGGAAAAACTTGAAATCTGGACCACAGCTAAAAAAGCTAACCTGGTGAGCAACAGAGGAAAATACATGCAGTCCTAGAATTAAAAACGGATAAAAGCACTTACCTCAAAACTCACAGATCCATTGTGGTCAGTGTCGAATGCATTAAAGAGAAAATGTGCATAGGTTGTAGAATCTAAAATTTAAAAACAGAGTGTTCCTTAGTAAGTGCATTTTAAAAAATTATCTTGTACCGTAAAGCATATTTTCTTTAATTTTCTACAGTGAAAATTTTTAGCCACCAACAGAGCTAAATGTTAACTCCAGCCTTAATCAGGTTTCCCTTTTTGCAGGAACAAAATTGTTATTATTACACAAATAATCACACCCTCAAAAATAGTCTCAAAAACAGAGGCTATGTTCTAAAAATCTGGCTCAGACTATCCTTATGTACTCTCATCATCGTAAGGGATCATTCACTGTAGTGTGACTTTATTGTGACTAGTATAATATGCTCAGTATTTACGAAAGAGTCTGTATTTGCTCAGGGCTCTGCTCATCAGATAAGGGACCATAACTGGGCTGCAGAAGAAGATGATGTTCACTTGTTCACTTCTAAGGAAGAAACAAAGTACAACTGTCACTGCATTTGGTGGGTTGTTTTTATTTCGAAGGGAACCATGTTATCCAATTTGTAACTGAACTTGCCAGCAGGCTTCTACATGAATGAGCACTGGAGATGGACACTGATTTTCTGGTGTGATCAGTAAGTTAAAAATATGACTGAGCATTCAAACAAGTGATCCATTTATTAAACAACTGTTTTATTCTCCCTGAGTTTCGTGGCTAAATTGACACGCTTTGAAAAATAAATGTAGAAAACAATAAAAATGTGCCAAACCTCTCAATATTTACATATGGCTGTCTCCCGTTAGGGACTGCATAAGCTAAAAAGTGGAGATTGTTTTATTTGGAGGATTTTCTGTGGTATTTGTCGTCATAGCACCTGAGCACAAGCACTAAGGAATCTGTTCTGACAGCTTCTTTGTAACATAGGGTAACATCTTCCTCTTTTTATCAATGCAGAATTGAGGCAAAAAGAGCTAAGAGGTCTCATTTTAAGAGATGAGAGCTCCTGTAGCAAAAAAATCAGATGATATGTGACTCAGTTTACCAGAGTCCTCGTCTACTGCCTTAACCATAACACTAGCCTTCCTCTCTCTGAGCTCCCAAGAGTTCTTTGGATTTCCGTTCCCACCCTAACACACACCCAAAACCTGTGCTAGAACACCATGCAGGTTAATACTGCCTGAGGTATTATTTACTTGCCCTACTTTCCTCTCCACACTTTATATATGTAATCCCTCCCTGCTTTTTGTATTTGCATTGGCTTTTCTATAGTGCTCATTACCTTAATAACTAACAACCTCACAAACTTGCATTAATTTTAGTCTCAGAAAATCCTTGCGAGACAAGGAAGTGTTATTATTTTATAGATGAGGAACTAAGGCAAAGAGAGCTGGAAGCTAATTGCCCAAGGTCATGCAGGGAAAACCAAAGATGAACATATCCTGGGTGTTCCTCTGGGAGAAGGGATGATCCTGCCTGAAGGTGATAAATTTCTGCGGCCTCATTGTGGCAGGTGCAGCTCCTTAACTCCAGCCTGGAATAGGGTGAGTGGGGATCTTGGGGGAGAGTGGAAACTAGGAAGTTAGGATATAGGTCCTGGAGGAAACCCTATGGGTAGCCACCTTAGGGAAGAATTTTAGGCTCAGTTTTATGTTGTAATTGATCCAGACATATCAGCGAGTGAGGACAGACATAGGGATTGATTTTAAGCATCAGACCACAACTTTATTAAATACAGGGGATGGGCGTTGCACCCTCTGTCACCCAGACTCTCATAGTAGGCTTTTTACGTGGTTCCAGTGTGGGAGTTGCAGGGCTCCTACCATACAACCCATAACTCGAGGGAGACTCTTCTCAATCTACCCCTCAGATTAGCTTTCTCTACTGAATCCTTTTGCCCCCACTATCCCCAGGACACAGATAGAGGGAACTAAAAGCAGGGAAGGGACATGGGCCTGCCAAAGCCACAAGTTGTCTCCCTACTCCATGAGCACAAGGCCCATCAGCAAAATCCCATGTCTTTTACTTTGGGGAACTGACCTTTTAACAGCACTAGTTCTGATCCTCCTTTGACACTGTTGACCATACTCTTCTTGAAATATTCTCCTCCCTTGGCTTCTGTGACTCTGTCCTATCCTGGTTCTCCTCCTACCTCTCTAATCAATCCTTCAGTGTGTCTTTTCATCCACCCTTATAGGTTTCTGTGGGGTTCCACAGGGCCCTGTCCTTGGTCCTTTTCTTTTCTCCCTGTACACCTTAGCTCTGGATAATCTCACTTGCAAGCAGAAATCAACCACCATCTGTATAGGGATGACTTCCAGAGCTACCTCTCTACTCAAGACCTGTCTCCTTCTGTTCAAAGTAAAATCTTGGCCTCTCTTGGCTTTTGGATATTTCACCATCAGCTCAAGCACAACATGGTTGAAATTGAGCTCTTAAACTTACCCCCCAAGTCATGCCTGCTGCCTCCTTTCTCAATCACTGTGGATGATAGCACCATTCTGTCTGTCACTCAAGCTTGTAACATTGGTATCATCTTCGATTCAGACCTCTCCCTAAGCCCTCTCATCCAGGCTATGTCTAAATCTTACCAAATCTTTTTGCAGAATATCTCTAAGATATGGCCTTTCCTATCCAGTGACACAGCTAACATGCTCCCTCATCGTGTGTCTTGATTTCTGCAATATCCTTTACTCTGGCCTTGACAAATGTAATCTTATCTGCTCGGATCCACTAAGGATATATCTAAACTGCAGCTGAGACCATGTCTCCCAGCCCAGGTAGATACACTCGTACTAGCTTTACTCAAGCTAACACATTACAAATAGCAGTGCGGATATGTGGCATTTTGAGCTAGCTGCCTGAGTCAAAGCCTACCCAAACTCCTGGGTTCATGTTTGGGTGGCTAGTCCAAATTGCCACCCAGGCCACAACATCCACACTGCTATTTTTAATGTGCTAGCTCAAGTGAAACTACTGCGATTCTGTCTACCCAAGCCAGCAGACACTCAGGAGCTGCCAGCTGCAGTGTAGACATATCCTCAGAATGCTCTTGTGGCCTATCGCTTTAGACACCTGAACCCTTTGCATCCCTCCATTGGCTTCCCCTTCAAATATAAGCTACTTGTCTCATTTTCAAGGCCTTTCATGATCTATTACAGCCTACCTACCATGTCTGATTCACTATCGAGAGATTGACTCTTGCATCCAGTCAACCCATGGTTCCAGCCTCCATTATCCCACTTGTTAATTTTTCAAACAAGCCCATTTGTGCTTTCTTCTATGGTAGGCTGCTGGTGTGCTGAGACTATTGCCTATCATGCAGACCGATATTGTCTCATTGTTTCCTTATACTCCCCTGGTGGTGTGTCTGCATTCATCTGCTGTCTCTTTTCTTATACTTCAGTTGTGAACCAGGGACCATCTTTTTGTTCTGTGTTTGTGCAGCTAGCACAACAAGGTCAAGGTCCATGACTAGGGTTATGACAATACAAGTATTAAATAATAAAATAACAAGAACATCTTGGAGTCTGTGTACTCTACTGGGCACAGGGTAGGAGCTCAGCTTGGGCACGCCCTCCCTCCAGGACAGAAGGAATTGTTAAGGACTGGAATTGTGTATGTAAGCAGATTTTAAAACTAAGCGATGGGTAAACTTGTGTCTGGTCAAGTACTGACAAGTTAGGGTGCTTATCAAAAGCTTATTCAGCCTCACTCCCAAAGGGACTTGCAAAGACTATGCAATCCTGTAAAAGCAGGATCTCCTCTACCTAATTTTGATCCAGCCAATCCAGAAATAGCACGAGGAAAGTGTTCTTTGCCGTATTTTGGTTCTTCTGGTCCTGGCAATACAGTGAGTGCAGAGGTGTGCACCTTTTAATCACAGCTATCCAAAGTTTTCCAACTCCCAAATGATATTAATTTGGAGGGAATGTTCAGATTTTTATTTTTCATCTGCTCCACCTTGTTCATCCCTAATTAAAACCATGAGGGAGTTTGTGGAATCTCCATCATTGGAGATTTTTCAGAGCAGGTTAGACAAACATCTGTCAGGGATGCTCTAGATAATACTTAGTCCTGCATTGTGTGCAGGGGCCTGGATTAGAAGACCTCTTCAGTCCTCCGATTCTATGATAGTAACCCTCTACACTATTCTGTTACCCTCCTGTTTCATCACCTTCCACATCATATCACATCAGAATTTGTACTCCATGGCACATCTTCTGTCGTTAGTGGCAGCACTCCTGAGTGGCATGCTTACAGAACAACACAAGGTCTTATCAGGGAACAACCTTGTTACTGCCTAAGAAGTCCTTTTCTGTCTAGCAGGATCTACAGGGGACTAAACCACTGGCTTCTGTGTACACTATTTGCATTCTGTGTTATCAAAATCATATTAACCTTGAAAAGCTGGTCACTATGCAGGGCCAAAACAATCTTCTTGCATTGGATCTATCAATGGCATTTTCTCTAGGCCAGGGGTTCTCAAACTTCATTGCACTGTGACCCCCTTCTGACAACAAAAATTACTTCATGACCCCAGGAAGCCTGAGCCCACCTGAGCCCCACTACTCCGGGTGAGGGGGGCCAAAGCCTGATCCTCACTGCTCTGGGTAGAGGGGCCAAAGCTGAAGCACAAGGGCTTCAGCCCCAGTCAGGGGGCCTGCAACCTGAGCTCTGCTCCCCAGAGCTGAAGCCCTCGGGCTTTGGCTTCAGCCCTGGGCCCCAGCAAGTCTAAGCCAGCCCTGGTGATCCCATTCAAAGGCAGTCCCGACCCACTTTGCGGTCCCGACCCACAGTTTGAGAACCACTGCTCTAGGCTGTATCATGCACTCCTAATAGAGGCAAAAATCCCATTTTGAACTAAAAATACTCGTGACTTTTATCTGAATAAGGACTGCAAATAGTCTTAGCCCTTATTACAATATGTTAATTTGGTATTATATACATTAATTATTGTAAGAACAAACCCTGCACTGTTTGAACATATGTTACTAATGCATTTTCATTGAATTCAAAAAGAACATACTGTTCAGACACAGGAGACCACAACACTGGATGGATGGC